GGTCTCCTCCCGGGCTTTGGCAACCACCAGGTTCTCCATCATCTGCCGCTGGAGCGACAGCGTCTGCAAAGCAAAGAGGCCTCGTTGGCGCCCGGGGGGCCTCCGCCTGCGCTGGGGGTGCTGGGACGGAGCATGGACTGGGCCGTCCCCCAAAAGGAAGCGGCTGCGCCCCAGGAACGGCCCAGCCCTCCCACGTGCTGCCAGAGCCTGATGGAGCTCAGGGCCGGCTGGCAGCTGCCGGGCGCTCGGCAAGGGCACGCCCACGCAAGTGCCCCCTGGGGGCCCTCTGAAAGCAGAGGGCTCAGGGCCACGGCTCCGGGAGGCCACGCTCATTTGCATGCCGTTACCCAGAATGCTCTGAGGTAGCAACTCTCGTTCTCCCCCTCCCTCCCGCCAGTCTGGGTTCCCCAGTCCCTAATTCCCACCCAACCCCTCTTTCTGCACCCTGGCAGCAGGGAGCCGTAAGTGCAGCGGGACCCCCCCGGCCATCCCAGCTGGGCTATCCGGCAGCTCCCCGCCGGAGGCGCCTGGCTGCCAGGCAGCAGGCACCGGGATGCTACAGGGCTCCGGGATCAGGTGTCTGCTCCCTTCCCCCTCTCCCCGCCCCAGGCGCCTGGCTGCCAGGCAGCAGGCACCGGGATGCTACAGGGCTCCGGGATCAGGTGTCTGCTCCCTTCCCGCTCAGGGGCAGCCCCCGGGAAGGAGCAGAGGAGGCCGCCGGGTGCTGCAGAGCGAGTGCCCGTTTCCTGCTTCCCGCCGAGGGCTCCAGCCTCCGCCCTCCCTGCCCGCCCTGGTCCCCACTTGCCAGGGAGGTCTTCTCGCGCCACCCGGGCCTCGTACGTCGCTCTCAGCTTCTGGTTCTGCAGCGAGGCCTCCTCCAGCGGGGTGAGCTCCCTGCGAGGGCACCAGGGCCGCTGGGTCACTGCAGGAGGGCTGGCCCCGCTCTGAGCGCCAGCCCCAGATCCGCTCTGCCCAGGGGAAGGGGCCAGCCGGGTCTCCCTGCGCCCCTGCTCTGACCCGGCCCAGCACGAAGGCCACACGATTCTCCGCGCTCCCTTCCACCCAGGAGGAACCTGCCCCCCGGCAGGAGGGCTCCTGGAGCGACAGCCCATCTCCCCAGCCCCTGCCCTCAGTCCTGCCCCTCGGCCTCCCCAGCCCCAGATCCGCTCTGCCCAGGGGAAGGGGCCAGCCGGGTCTCCCTGCGCCCCTGCTCTGACCCGGCCCAGCACGAAGGCCACACGATTCTCCGCGCTCCCTTCCACCCAGGAGGAACCTGCCCCCCGGCAGGAGGGCTCCTGGAGCGACAGCCCATCTCCCCAGCCCCTGCCCTCAGTCCTGCCCCTCGGCCTCCCC